AGACAGATTAAGAAGAAGGACCTGGCAGTCTACTTCTGAAAAAATTAGCCAGTGGAAACCTTATGAATAACAGTGGAACATTGTCTGATACAGTGCGGAAGATGAGCCCCTCAGGATGGAAGGCACTCAAAAGGCGAGTGTTTTAGTGCCTGATTCTGGTATTTATGTCAAGATCCCTGTGACTTGATTTCTGCCTTAATCTTATTCCACTACCATGACCAATATTTCTAATTTTACCTAATCCTGCTTTCTTTCTGTGGTGATTTTAAAATATATCCACAAATTACGTGACATTCTTACTTCAAAAGGGACTCCAAAAATGGACTGCCTTGAGTGTGGGCTGTAGTTCACGACTCGCTAAGTTAAATCTTTTCTTTCCTTCCCAGATTCACTGGAATTTGGGCTTGGACAGACTCACTCCGGGGCCCTCATGCCAACTTCCTGTCTCCTTTGAACTCCTTAAGAGTGAGCCCTGGTGGGAAGTGGCTAAGTGTTTGGCTGCTAACTGAAAGGTCTTCGGTTCGAAGCCACCAGCTGCTCTGTGGGAGAAAGATGTGGCAATCTGCTAACGTAAAGACTACAGCCTTGGAAACCCCACAGGACACTTCTACTCTGTCCTACAGGGTCACTACGAGTCAGAATCTACTCGATGTCAACAGGTTTTTGGTTGGTCTCCTTGATAGGCACAAAACATTTCAGCTTGCACCTGATTTTAATTTATGTGTGTGCTGAAATGTTCCAAGTTAGACACCTAACAGGCCCACTGCTATGCTGATCAGTTTAAATTTTAATTCCTTTGCACACCCTGCCTTTTTGGATGACCTGATAGTGTGATAAAATTAATGAACAGCTGTAACTTCAAAGTATAAGAAAAATATTTGTTCAGCATCTTCCCTATTTTTTTTTTTTTAAATCTCTATAACCCCCAGTCTGTCTTTGTTTGGGGAGCACTTTTCTAGTTGTGCTGGAAATAGTGCTGCCCAGTTCATAAATCTATAAACCAAATAATATTCCACATTATAATACTGGTAAAAGTTTTCTTTTGACGAGAATATGGCCGAAGTGGCAGGGCGTGCTTCCAAGACTAGGTCATAAAAGGCACTGCGGCCTCCTCCTCTTCCTCTTGGGTCAGTCAATCTGACGCAAGCCAGCTGTCCATGTCTGAGGACACTCAAGCAACCCTACACAGAGGTCCGTGTAGAAAGGAACTGAGGCTTCTTCTCAATAGCCAGCAAGGAACAAAGTCTTCTGGCAACTGTTATGTCAGCGAGCCACTTTGGAACAGATCTTCCAGTCCCAGACAAGCATTCACAGGGCTGCAGCCCTGCCATCATCTGGACTGTAACTTCTTGAGACACCCTGAGGCAACTAAACGATTCCTGAATTCCTGACCCACACAAACTGCGAGATGAATGCTGGTGTGTTAACTTAATGTTCTGAGACTGGAAGAACCCCTGAAGCCAGGGCCCTGGAACCACTGTGAATCCGGAACTGGAATCATTCCCGAGACCCACTCTTCAGACAAAGATTGGACTGGACTATAAAACATGAAGTGATACTCGTGAGGAGTGTGCTTCTTGGTTCAGGCAGATACACGAGACCAAATGGGCAGCTCCTGTCTGCAGGCAGGATGAGAAGGCAGGAAGGGACAGGAGCTGGTTGGATGGACACAGGAAACCGGAGGTGAAAAGGGGGAGTGTGCCGTCACATTGTGGGGACCGTAACTACTGTCACTTAACAACGTGTGTGCGGATTTTTGTGTGAAAGATTGACTTGAGCTGTAAACTTTCACCTAAAGCACAATAATAATAATAAAAAAAGTTGATGTTTTAAGCTGCTAAATTTGGGGGCTAATTTGTTACATAGCAATAGATAATGACATACTTTCTCGCACATCCCTCAAAATGCACACGTTTTCCATCGCCATTCACCCAGAACTAGTCTCACCAGTGTAGCCCCTGTAACCGCTGGTGTCAATTTCAACTCACAGTGACCCTATACGACAGAGTAGAACTGCCTATGGGGTTTCCAAGGAGCGGCTGGTGGATTCGAACTGCCAACCCTTTGGTTAGCAGCCGAGCTCTTAACTAAGGCGCCACGGGGGCTCCAGTCTAGCCCCCAATGCCTACAAATTAGGACATTGCGTAAAATTTCCTTGAACGACCTGGTGTTCTGACGCCTAACTCCCTCACAGACTGTGGAAAAGGCTTTGGGATAAGTCTGTCAAGTGAAGAACAAGTCTTTACGTGAAGGCCGTTTAAGTTTTAAGTGAAAGTAGTAGAGAATGACAATCAGTGTGTGACCTTGTTTGCTTTCAGCCTGGGAGCATGACCAGGATCCTAAGAGGAAGATGAGAGGAAAAGAGGCTTCTGTTTCTAATTCACCCGGGAACTCCTGTCCGTTAGAAATAACCACCACCTTCTCTGCTTTTCTTAGCAGCTTGTACCTACCTCTGCTATGTACTTCGTACGACATTAAATCGTTAAGCCCTCAACATACAAACACATACTCGTCAAGAACGGTGGTTTTGTCTCAGTTATTTGAAATTCATTGCAGTTGCTAGCATGTAGTAAGCATTTAATCAATGCCTAGAGAAGTACCGACTCCGGAGAATCTGGCCTCCTTAATTCCAACCTCAGGCAGTCCTAAGCCAAGTCTTTAAAAAGGCAGCACTCAGCTGTGAACCCTGCTCATTCTACTTACTTCCTCAGAACTCCTGCTGCTGCTGCACTTGACATCCAAAGTCGGTTTGGTTTCTGGCAATCAGCTTTATCTGCAGTTTGTAGCTTCTGATTGACAGGTAAGCTCTCCCCAACTTTACCTGGACTTCCTTTCCCCACCGTCTTGCCGTGTTTTCTGTCTTGCACTTCCTAATCACACCCCATCATGCGCCCCTGCATTCGATTAGTCTGCCTTGATGGGCAACTTCTCTGCCTCTGTTTCCAGCCTCGGTCATCAGGCAGGCTCTGATCACTATCCCCAGCCATGATCTCATCTACCAACTCCAGGGCAGGCCAACTAGGAAACTGAGCAAACTTTCTAAGGGTTGAGAGCCAGAGCCAGAGATTTTATTACCTTCAATCTCTTTAGTTTTGGTTCCTTGAATTGTGTAACCACTGATTAGAAATGAGTTCTGCATCTTTAAAAATCCCTGCGTACAGTAACTATTATAGAAATTAGGGATCTGCGTATGAATGTGGTAGCAAACGCTGTCCTTTAGTGATTTTCGTGGCTGAGAATGTTCCATGCTCCTTACCTCAAACAGGTTCCCACTTCCAAAAGGAAGAAGTTTAAGCTTGTTTTGAGAACCTTAGAACCACACTAGTTAGAAGGGGGTGGGGGGGAAGGCCAAAATCTCCAGTCCATCAACATTTCTAATTATACTTCATGATCAACCTTGGTCTACGCCTTTGTTTTTTTTAAGGAGCCCTGTTGGCACAATGGTTCAGCACTAGGCTGCTAACTGAAAGATTGGCAGTTCAAACCCACCCAGTGGCTCCACAAGAGAAAAAGCTGGCAATCTTCTCCTGTAAAGATTATAGCTAAAAAAATCCTATGGGGCAGTTCTACTCTGTCACGTGGGGCCACTTTATGAGTCCCAATCGACTGGATAACACCTAACAACGTACCAACAATAGGGCTTTTATAGATGTGTTTGAGAGATTCTTGAGCTAATTTTTAGAGACCTTCAAGGGCAACCCTTTTTAGAACAAGCTCAAAAAGATCCTTAATTGTGTACATGAATTAACTAAGAATATCACTTGTCTTAAAGTTGACAAAAACATTTGGAGGCTGAGTCCTTAAGGTTTGCCAAAAGCACTGTCACCCCTCATAATAACAGCTAACATTTACTAAGCGTTTCTTACAACGGGCAGGCTGCTGTGCTAATCAGCTTAATAGAGATCGTATTTAATCTGGCAGTACGCCCGTGAGGAAACTGATGCCGATACAGGTTAAGTAACTTGTTCAAATATCCAGATAGGAACACAAGAGTCCCTCTGGCCAATCTGCTTACATCTAGAAAAGAACCATTTGGCAGTGTGTCAATACTCATCCAGGGAGGACTCAGTAAATGTTTACTGAGTGAGTGAATCCAGCTCTGAATTTGTTTTAAATAAGAGGGTCCTTTATACCCATGTAAGAGGAAAAAAGGGATCGTCTCAAAATCTCTCATCACCTGCTCAGGTGGGGAGACCCCGTGCATTCCATGTCACCGACTCGGGAAAGAGAACAAGACCCCAGAAAAAGTGGAGGTGAGGAGGAGGGTCATTCTGTGAGAAAGGAGGGCAAGGTGCTAGAACCAAGGAGATGCATCTCCTTGGGTATACACTTTCAACCTAAGTCTTCCATAATGAAAGCTCAGAAGAATCCAGGTGAGGGTAGCTGTCAACATTTGAGGAGACTCTCACAGTGATTCTTCAAAAATGTGTGTCAGCACTCTACGCTCACCCGAAACTGCTCATTTCGTGGAGAAAGTCAGGTTTGAATTCATCTGGGTCACCTTGGTGCCCTCCAGGGTAGGGCCTACAGTTTCATGGGTGAAAGGACAGTACTTAGCCCAGCAGGGACTGAGCAGTCGCCCTCGTGACCAGAGGGGGCGTAGGAGCGCAGCACGCCGCGCCGGGCTCAGCGCAGATTAAGGGGCCTGCTGCAATGGCCCA